AGTGACAGCCAGCAGGGTAGACAACAGGCACAGGCCTGGGGTGAAATCAGGATACAGATCAGAGCATATATAGCAAGCTTCGTATCCATCCTAAATCAAAGGTAACTAGTGTAGCTTCTCCCAACTTTTCGTTAATGTCTGTGAAAACACAGACAAAATTCAGGAATTACAGAACTGAAAACATAAAATGGTAGCCTACTAAGGAGGAAGTGACACTGATTATAAGACAGATGAAAACTGGACTAAATAATAATCTGCCTGTTTTCAACATAAACCAGGTTTGTAAGGAATAACCAGGACACTAAACTCTGTCAGCATTTGCTCTCCAGGCTAAAGCTAAGAAGAGGTCTTTAAATAAAGTTTGGATGGGAGCAAAGTTACATTTCTGGCCAAATGTCAGATTAAAAATATTGACCCACCCTCTCATTGAATACAACCAAAATCCTGGATCAGTGAGTTGGCAAGGAAGAAAGGAATACTTAGAGGCCAAGAACTTAAGTGAAACTGGGAATCCAGATGGGTAACGAGGAGCACCAGGTTTTGTCTGGTGAACTTGAGCTTCTAATTTCACAGCTAAACAGGATATGGTAAACAGGAAAGGAAATGTGCATAAGTAATCTAATAGGAGTTTTCCTCATCTCACACACAACAGTTGGAGATCCAAGAGCTAGGACCTCAGTGAAAAGGTGAAATAGAAGTAAACCCAGCTTCCTGGAACTGCAAGGAAAATTGCTTGGCACTGGATGGAAGGGGAGAATCTCCTCTGAGACTTCATAACCACAAGCCATCCCTCACTTGGATTTACAGGGCTAGTTAACTCTACCTGAATGATCCAAAAACTTCAAGAAAAGTATAAAGTGGTCCATGTTCCCGGAAGAAGCAAGCACATATCCTCTTTGTTGTTGTTAGCTGCAGCTGAGTCAGCCTCTGACTCATGGTGACCCCATTCACAACAGATCAGACCATTATGATCCATAGGGTTTTCATTGGCTGATTTTCAGAAGTAGACGGCCAGGATTTTCTTCCTACCTGTCTTTAGTATGGAAGCTCTGCTGAAACTTGTTCAGCATCATAGCAACATGTGAGCCTTCACTGACAGATAGGTGTTGCATGATGTGCATTGGCCAGGAATCAAACCCGGATCTTCTGCGTGGACGGTGAGAATTCTGCCACTAATCCACCATATATTCCCTCTTCAGTAACCCTTTAATCTAGATTTCAATCTGATTTCCCATAGATAAAGTTCCAAGAAATAGGAACTAAGAATTAAAAATCACTAGACAGGGGAGTTCTTCTGGCAACGATAAACTGAGTAATTCTGACCAACCCTCTCACTGAGAAAAGCTGGACAAAATTGTTTTTTTTTTTCAGAATTAGAAGTTTAAAGATAATTCAAAAAGGATATACAGAGAAATAAAAAAAATGTATTTCTCAAGGTCACATAATATCTCCATTGATCTCCAATCTTTTCAATCCTCTGACCACTGTGGTTCTGCTCACCCCCTTAGGCTTGTGGTGACTGAGGGCCTGAGTGAAGGAGAGAGAAAGGAAAAGACAGCCTCAGAGGTCCTGGGATAAATAATGGAGGCTCCACATCCTTCCAAAGCTCCAAGTCAATTCCACTGGGATCTTCCAGTTAAATGATCTTATAATGGGAGCCCTGGTGGCACAGTGGTTAACAGCCGGGGCTACTAACCAAAAGGTCGGCAGTTGGAATCCACCAGCCAGCTCCTTGGAAACCCCATGGGGCAGTTCTGCTCTGTCTTATAGGGTCTCTGTGAGTTGGAATCAACTCAATCGCAATGGGTTTGGTTTTTTGCTGTGGTAGGCGTAATGAGGCTCAGCAGTCTCTCTGAACAGGGTACAGTGTGGGGAGTAGATGAGGTTATTCCAAAACTGAGGATGGACAAAATATTTTTTAAAAGCTTATGTGGGAAGGCATTGAGCTGCTACAAGGCAGTGAATTACAGGGCCAAGATCTGGGAGAAGAAAATCCAGAAAGATAAGCCAGCGTTTGTCACTGTTTTTCATTTAGAGGCATCTTTTGATTCCAGGAGGGGTGACTGAGAAGCAAAACACAGCTTTTTATTGACACATGGCGATAAGGGAACAAAAATCTAGTTCAATGGACTGCCAAAGAAGGCAAACACTGGTAAACCCTCAAAACTTTGTGTTGAGACCCAAAAGGGCTACATCACAGGGGTAAGGATAAAGAAAAGGCCAGCCTTCTTCACAGACACTGACAGATGGAATCCAGAAAAGTTTAGGAACTTGGAGGATACAGTTGAAAATTCGTACATATGCTCTAATTGGAGTTATACGAGGAGAGGAGCGGGGAGGAGAGGGGCAGGGAGGGAAGAAGAAGGGAGGCGAGGAGAGGAGATGAATGGATAAACAAATGTGGCATACAATGGAATATTATTCATAAAGTGAAGTTTTGATACATGCTATGACACAGACGAACTTTGAAAACATTATACCAAGTGAAATAAGGCAGACACAAAAGGACAAATATTGCATGATCCCACTTACATGAAATATTCAGAACAGGCAAATGCATAGAGATCAAAGTTTATTAGTGGTTACCGGGGACAGATGGGAGGGGCAAATGGAGGTATTTCTTAAGTGGTACAGAGTTTTTGTGAAGAGTAATGAAAGAAATGGATAGTGATTGTTGCACAACATGGCAAACGTAATTAATGTCATTGAATTGTACACATAAAAACTTTTGAAATGGCAAATGCTTTGTTACATATGTATTTCACACAGTAAGAATTTTTAAAAATGAAAAAGAAATAGGACTAAAATGCACAATCACAATAGCAGATAAGTTGGGAGGCAGGCGATCAGGTTAAAGTGTTCTACAAAAAACAAAAAACCCACTGCTGACAAGTTGGTTCTGACTTATAGCAACCATACGTACAACAGAACGAAACACTACCCAGTCTTGCGCTATCTTCACAATCTTTGCTATACTTGAGCCCATTGTTGTACCCACTGTGTCAATCTATCTCATTGAGGGTTGTCATGGATTGAATTGTGTCCCCCCAAAATATCTATCAACTTGGCTAGGTCATGATTCCCAGTATTGTATGACTGTCTACCATTTTGTCCTCTGATGTGATTTCCCTGTGTGTTGTAAATCCTATCACTAAGATGTAATGAGACAGATTAGTGGCAGTTATATTGATGAGATCTACAAGATTAGATAGTGTCTTAAGCCAATCTCTTTCGAGATATAAAAAAAGAGAAGCGAGCAGAGAGACATGGGGACCTCATACCACCAAGAAAGCAGTGCTGGGAGCAGAGCGTGTCCTTTGTACCTGAGGTTCCTGCACAGAGAGGCTCCTAGACCAAGGGAAGATTGATGACCCAGACTTCCCTCCAGACTCGACAAAGCGAGAAAGCCTTCCCCTGGAGATGACTCTCTGAATTTGGTCTTCTAGCCTACTAGACTATGAGAGAATAAATTTCGCTTTGTTAAAGCCATCCACTTGTGGTATTTCTGTTACAGCAGCACTAGATGACTAAGACAAGGGTCTTACTCTTTTTCCCTGACCCTCCACTTTACCAAAGCATGATGTCCTTCTCCAGGGGCTGGTCCTTCCTGATAACATGTCCAAAGTACGTGAGACGTAGTCTCGACATCCTTGTTTCTAAGGAGCATTCTGGTTGTACTTCTTCCAAGAGAGGTTTGTTCATTCTTCTGGTCGTCCACGGTATATTCAATATTCTTTGCCACCACCATAATTCAAAGAATCATTTCTTCTTCAGTCTTCCTTACTCATGGTCCAGCTTTCGTGTGCATATGAGGCTACTGAAAATACTATGGCTTTTTTTTGTGTGTGTGGTTAGGGTGGAATAAACCAACCAGTTGCTGGCAAGTCAGTTCCAATTTACGGTGACCTCGTGTGTCAGAATAGAGCTGTGCTCCACAGTTTTCAATGGCTGATTTTCCAGAAGCAGATCGCCAGGCCTTTCTTCTGAGACCCTTCTGGGTGGATTCAAACTGCCAACATTCATTTAGCAGCCAAGCACTTAACCATTTGTACCATCCTGGGACAGGACGGGAACTGTGGTGGCGCCGTGGTTAAAGCACTTGGCTGCGAACCAAAAAGTCCATTTGCTCCACAGGAGAAAGATGTGGCAGTCTTTGTAAAGATTACAGCCTTGGAAACCCTATGGGGGCAGTTCTACTCTGTCCGATAGCGTCACTATGAGTCGGAATCGACTCAACGGCAGAGAGTGGTGGTGCGGGGCAGGACGAAATAGGCGGCCTTTACTTTTCTTTCAATTAGCCCATAGCACTTTTTGAGTGCCCTCTCGATGCTGGTGTTGGAGGAAATATAAAGCTCATTAATGGGTGAGACAATGTCATGTGAAAAGATCAAAATATACAAACTTCGTGTGCTATATTTAGAATTTGTTCGATATGAAATAAAACAGAGTATGCACATAGACTAAGACTGGAAAGAAAAATGAAAAAAAAAAAAAAGGGAGAGCTGTGTTAGGGCGGAGGGCATAGGCTGAGTTTTCTCATAATAATATCAAATGGCATATTTTAAGGCCCGCAGTAGATTGGGAGGATTGGGAATGTACTGTGAAAGACGGCCGGCGGTGCAGAGAGCACAACTCTCTTTTTTCATTAAACTCAGGTTTTTGCATCTCTAACAAGTTCCCAGGAAGTTATACATAAAAAACACCTGGGGGATCTCGTAAAAATACAGATTCTGATCCAGTATATCTGGGAGGTGGAAATGCACATTTTCAGCGGGGAACTTGTTAGAATGCAAATTCTCAGTAGGATTCAAACCGGAACGAACCGATTCGAACATCTGATTCTCACCCAAAACCCTTAGCTGCGACGTGCACGCAGCTGGCGAGCAGTGCAGGGTAATTCTGGGCGGGCTCAACCCATACTCCCTTCTTTAAAAGCCGGAACCCTTGAGAGTCGTTTCTACCTTTTCCAGTCGGCCGCAAGAAACCGCGGATCTCCGCCTGCCCGGAAGTTATTGCACAGTCGCTTCCGGGGTGGTGTAAGTAGGAGTATTCCGAATGGGTCGTAGCCGCAGCCGCTCGCCGCGGAGAGGTGAGTCCAGAGTAATTCGGAGTGTCTGTCAGAAGTGTTTTCCTTTTCTTTTTTCAGTATTAGGCAGCGGAGAGGGGGACCCTTTTCTCCTAAGAAGGAGAAGTGCTGAGGCTAGATGGTGAAACGAAATCCTCGGCCCTAGACTCTTAGCCTGGACCCTCCAATTTGAAGGCGTTTTTCTTTTTTCTGAGAGAGGATTTTGCTAGCTGTGTCGGCCTCATACAATAATTTATTATATGGGTGGCTGAGGCATTTAGAGCAGACCACGATTCCTTCATTTAATTTCTGGGTGACCGTGGCCAAGTCAGTTAATCTGAGTTCGAATTCTCCTAGTAGACACTGGGAAAGTGTTCAAAACAAACAACAACAACAACAACAACAACAAAAACAGTTGCTATGGAGTCGACTCCGTCTCATGGCTACCTAAAAAAACCGCTGTGAGAATTAATGTCATATTCCGTAACGGTATGTGGTAGTGCCTGGCATCTTAGATGCTCAGTAAATGTTAGTTTGCTTCCCAGTTTATAATAAAACACAAAACAAACCCGTTGCCGTCGAGTCTATTCCGACTCATAGCGATCCTATAGGACAGAGTAGAACTGCCCCATAGAGTTTCCAGGGAGCACCTGGTGGATTCGAACTGCCAACCTTTTGGTTAGCAGTCGTAGCTCTTAACCACTAAGTCACCAGAATTTCTTAGTTTATGATACGGGCATCGATATCTAGAATTTTGCATTCAGGGTGCTCACCTCCTCAAGCTCTCTGGTCCCCACCCCCACAAATGAGGCAGTGCAGTGTAAAGAACCCTGGACTTCGGTCAGGAGATCTAATTTACACTCTCAGTTCTGCTCCTGGTTAGTTTTTGACACCTTTGACTAGCCCCTTCAGGTTCTTAAAGGTTTTCTTAAAGGTCAGATGAGGCCGCCAGCCACATGTGGCTATTGAATGCTTGAAATGTATTTAATCTTAATTGAGAAGTGCTGTAAGTATAAAATGCACACCAGAGTTCATTGACTTAGTACAAAAAATAATGTAAAATATCTAATTATAAATTACTGATATGTTGAAATTGGATATGTTGATGTTAGTTGGTGTCCACGACTAATGGCGACCCATGTGTACCGAGTAGAACCGCTCCCTAGGGTTTTCATAGCTGTGTGACCTTTCCAAAGCAGATTGCCAGGCCTTTCTTTTGAGGTGCTTTTGGTTGTATTCCATCCACCAGCCTTTTGGCCAGCACTTAACCATTTGCACCACCCTAGGACTCCTGAAATGGATATTTAAAAAAAAAAAAAAAAAACACACAAACCCATTGCCGTGAAGTCAGTTTCAACTCAATATCCACCCTATAGGACAGGGAAGAACTGCCCCGTAGGGTTTCCAAGGTTGTAATCTTTGCGGAAGCAAACTGCCACATCTCCTGGCAGTGCGGCTGGTGGGTTTCAATCACCAGTCTTTCAGTTAGCAGCTAAGCATTTAACCGCTGTGCCACCAGGGCTTCTTGAAATGGATATAGTGGGTCAAATAACATATTGTTAAATTAATTTCACTTTTTTTTTTGTTTTTTTTACTTTTCCAATGTGATTACTAAAAATGGCTTGCGTTTTATTTTTACTGGCTAATGCAGCTCTAGATATTTGAGGTAATTTTCATCTCTGCAACTGTATGTGTTTGTATTAGAGCGAAGGCGGTCCCGGTCCACATCCCGAGAGAGGGAACGCAGACGCAGAGAAAGGTCCAGGTCCCGGGAGAGAGATCGAAGGAGGAGCCGCTCTCGATCACCGCACAGACGACGCTCCAGGTAACTGTAGAAAATAAGCCAGAAGCTTTATTCCAAGTCCCGGTGAAACTAGTCACTGCCCTTGACAGTCCCCATAAGGGGATTTTGAATTTCATGAAATGAGAGAAACTTAACCTCACCTTATTCTAAACTTCACATTCCCTTTGATAAGATGGGGTTAATAACACTCTACATCATAGAGTTGTCTTAGAAGTAAGTGAGAAATAATACACGGAAAGCTAGTCAATAGTAAGAAATAGTAAGCTTTGCTTTTTTTTTAAATTAACTTTTTGGTGATAATGATTTAGTCAGCTTTTTATGTGTTCGTATTGTTAAAAACTTTTTAGGTATATTTTTCTGCCTCACAAAAAATTTTTTTGGTTCTAGCTATACCGAATGAAAGGGACGATAAGCAATAAATGGTATTTTCTATATTTTGTTAACCATTAGGGCGTAGGCAGAACCTTCTCCTTCCGTTTCCTATAGGGAATGGACTCCTGGTTCTCTGGAGCCTAGCTTTTGTTCAGCCTTTACTTTTCAGCCACTGATCTGCTGATCTGCACAAAATTGCCATGTATGTCTTTGTTTCTAACATCTTTGATTATTAAATATTAGATCACCAAGACGACATAGATCTACATCCCCTTCCCCTTCTCGACTGAAAGAAAGAAGAGATGAGGAAAAGAAAGAAACAAAAGAAACAAAGAGCAAAGAACGTCAGATTACTGGTAATGTTATTAGATGTGTGACTTGGAAAAGTACAGTTTTATTTAGATAGCTTTAGTCAGGTGATAAAATTATAAAAGTATAATGTAAATATTTAGCTTTTTATAGTATTCATTGCGTATAGTTTTGAGATTTGTGCCTTAGTAGATTGCTGGTTATCTGTGGTGTTCCTTGTATAATATAGGAAAGACAGTTAAAGATGTGGAAGAGAGTATTCTATTTTGGAAGCATCTTCATAACTAGATATTGTCACAATCTGTTTATCTAAGTTGAAGAGGAATTTTTTCATTAGACTCAAATCTTTAGCCAGTTGCTTTGTTTGTTCTTTGCTGGTGATATGGAATGTTGCCACTTTTCATTTTATATGTATAAAATGACAGGAGAGTTTTTAAAAAATTATCACTTATGTTTTGCAGAGGAGGACTTAGAGGGCAAAACAGAGGAAGAAATAGAAATGATGAAGTTAATGGGGTTTGCCTCCTTTGATTCCACAAAAGTAAGTAAAACACACAACCAGTTAAACATTCTGATTTGAATTAATCCCTATATTGTCAAGTTGGCTCCGACTCACTGCAGCCCCGTGTACAACAGAATGAAATGTTGCCTGGTCCTGCATCATCTTCAGAGTCGTTGGTATGCTGGAATCTGTTGTTGCAGGCACTGCGTATTTTCAGTGCCTTTCAGCCTAGGGCGCTCATCTTCCAACACTATATCAGACAGTATTCTGTTGTGATCCGTAGGGTTTTCATTGGCTAATTTCCAGAAATAGATCACCAAGCCTTTCTTCCTAGTCTGTCTCAGCCTGGAAGCTCCAGTGTAACCTGTCTACCATGGGTGACTGCTTGTATTTGAAATACCAGTGGCATAGCTTCCAGCATCACAGTGACACGCAAGCCACCATCATATGACAAACTGACAAATGGGTGGTGGAATCCATATAACTTTCCTATTTTTCCATATTCTTTTACCATCACTTGTAGTTTTTCTATTGATACAACTTTATTTGGGTATAAGACAGTAACAGTCTGTGTGAAGGACTTTGAGAGCACAGAGGGAGAAGCAGTGAACTGCCTCTGAAATTCAGGGAGTGCTTCCCAGGGATGGTATTTGAGTTAGATCTTAAAGGGTAAGTAGAGATGATTAGGCAAAGAAGAGGAGGAAGATACTTAAAGTAGAGGGGAGAAGCCTTTGTGTTATGTGTGAAAGAGCATAGTGTACTGTGGGGATTTCAAATTCAGTGACTGGTGAAAGGATGCTGATGGGCTAGTGACTATGGATGAAACTAGAAATTCAGATAGGAGCCAGATCATGGTGGGCTTTTGATGCCATGCCAAGGAATTTACAGTTGATTCTCTTAGTGTTGAGAGCAAGCAATGATTTTTAAGCAAGGGAATGGCATGATTATATCTGTGTTTTAGAAAGATGGTTCTGGGGGCAGCATGGAGGACAGATGGAAGGTGAGTTAAATTGGAGGCAGGGAGATCTGCTGGGTTGAGCAAGTGGAAGATGATGAAGGCCTGAACTGAGGCAGTGGGCGTGGAGAGGAGGCGCCAGAATATTGAGAACCATTTAGGAGGCAGAGTTGGTGATGGGAGTGGGAGTGAGCAGTCAGTGATGACTTTGAAGTGTCAGGCTGGGGAGACTGGGTGATACAGTTAAGAAAGATTACAATTATAGGATGGGGAACTGCTGTGAAGGGGAAGAAAAAGACTGCATTGGACAGCCACATATATCTCAGCTCAGAAGAGAGGTAGATTGGAGAATGAGGGCTGGCTAACCCTGAATCCTAGTACTACAGAGAATAGGGATGGGGGGAGAAGAAGGGGAAAGAAGAGGGAGGGATTATAGAGAGGGAGATGAAGAGAGGAGTTATAGGGAACAAGGAGAGGAGGGAAGATAGGAGAAAAAGAGATAGGAAAGAACGGGGTGGTATAGAGAGAGGAAATGGAGGGAAGGAGAGGGGATGGAGTGAGCCAGGAAGGAGAGGGGGAGAGAGAGAGTGTATGTGTAGAAAGAGAAAGAATATATTTTTAAAAGTCTCTTCTTTCCCTTGTCTTTCCATTTAGTTTTGCAGATGAAAGTTGAGATTTTTGAGAACAATTGTCAGAAATAACCCACTTTCCATAATCTTGCATTCTGTTGTGTTGTTAATGGAGTGGGGGTGATCTCAGATGCTGTGTTTCTTTCTAAATAATGTGATTGTGTAGGGCTCAATTTTTTTTTTTTTTTTTTTTCCTTAATGACAGTATATAACCTAAGAGGAGTACTGAGGCATGACTGTTTTGAGGTGAGAAAATTAAGAATTTCTTCTCCTCACAAATGGTTATGTGAACGTCTTTTTGGAATTTATTGCAGTTTATGTATCAGCTTTTTTTTTTTCTTGAATACTTATTTGTTTTTCTGAAGAGTATAAAGTTTGTTAATATATATGTTGAGTAAATAAAAATATCTCCAAAGTAAACATAGCAACTATAATTTTATTGTTTTTAGAAGAATAGGGAGAGAACTTACTGGAGTTATTTTCTTGGTTTGTTTTTTTTGGTTTCAGTAATGTTATGTTTGAAGTCCCAGAGAATCCAGTGTAAAGCTTAGGTCACAGCTTTACTATATATATTTTAATTTTATTTATTTTGTTGTTGTTGTTAATAATATACACAGCAGAACATAGACCAGTTAAACAGTTCCTACATGTACAATTCAGTAGCATTGATTAAATTCTTCAAGTTGTGCAGCCATTCTAACCTACCTTCTCTGAATTGTTCTTCCCTCATTAACATAAACTCAGAAGCTTCCTGTCTAACCTTTCGAGTTGCTCTTGTCAATTTGATCCCATATAGATAGTTCTTAAAAGAGCATAACGCTTAAGGCAGACATATTTTACTAGTTAAGCAAAACTATTGTTTGGTTTTAAGAAGACTTCAGGAGATATTTTTGGTTTAAGGTTTAAAGATTATCTCAGAGCAGTAGTTTTGGGGGCACAGCTTTACTTTTAATGTAGTCTATGCTGAATATGTTTGTTTATAAGGGAGAAATTAGAATTCATAGATCTATGAAAATTACAGAGTACCACTGAGACCAATGGTACTCTTGGCGTAGTGGTTAAGAGCTCAGCTGCTAACCAAAAGGTCAGCAGTTCAGATCCACCAGCCACTCCTTGGAAACCCTATGGGGCAGTTCTCCTCTGTCCTATAGGGTCACTCTGAGTCAGAATCGACTCAGTGACAGTGGGTTTAGTGAGACCAAATGATGTCAGTTGTTTTTTTTAATGACATCTACAAGGATGTTAATTTAGCCAGTGTGGTTGCCTTCTCGACTGTACTATCAGTTACAAAGTCTCTCAGCTCATTTGTGTTTTTCAGTAATGTGTATTTTGTGATATTTCATTGTTGATATATGGTGGGACCTTTTCATATGCTAGTATAGTTGTTTATTTTCCCTTCCATTTTAATATTCTAGAAAAATTTCAGAGTTTTTTTATGTTTATTATTTTATGTTTATTATTCCAGCATGTAAATAAATGAGAGTATAATTAATAATATTCAACCCTACATATAGTTTTCAAAAATCAGTAAGCTTTTAGGAATTGGACTTAGTAAAAAGGTTAACATCATTTACTTTTTTTCTAAGGTCAGTCTTTCCAAGCCATGCCTTCTTCCTATTCCCTGGGAGGTCAAAATCATATACTTCAAGTAATTTGCCCAATATTTTCCTCTGAAAATAAATATGAAACAGGAATAGAATAGTAAGACCAAGTATATTAGCTTCTCTTCATATATGTAGCTTACCTGTGCATGCCTTTAGGCCAGTGGTTTGGAATCCTTTTTGCCCCCAACATAGCTATCTAATAAATATGCTACACAGATAGGCTGTGCTCCCATAGGCTATTAACTCCCATGAGTAACGAGGGAAGTGGTGGTTGGGGGCCACATACCTGTGTGTGTCATGGCATTAACTGGTGATGTTCATACATTTAGCAGTCATTTTCTGAACACGTATGAGTGCTTTAGCCTAGAGTGTGAGAATATAAAGGTGACTCTAAGACATATGGGTGGCTTTAAAGAACTGAATTTATTTTCTCACAGTTCTGGAGGCTAGCAGTCCAAATCAGGGTGTCAGCTATGTTAATTCCTTCTTTTCAGTAGCCCTGGGCATTCTGTTTCTTGGTTCCTTGGCGATCTTCACTGGCATCTTTCTTCCCCCATGTGTGCGTGTCTCTTTGCCCAATCTACTCTTTTTAAACTCAGAAGTGATTAGATTTAGAGCCCACTCTACTGAGTGTAGTCTAATTAATGTAACAAAGAAAACCTCATTTCCAGAAAAGATTATATCCACAGGTATACTGGTTAGGATTCCAACACATATTTTAGGCGAGCACAATTTAATCCATAACAACTGCCATCAAGAAGCTTGCAGTCTTACCAGGGAAATAACAAGGTATACTGTATTTGTATGCAAATAACGCACGCCTTCTATGTTTATTTGCCAACCACTCCCTTCCCTCCCCCCCCCCGCAGCTATTTTTGTAAGTATTCTACGCTAATTTTTTTAATAGTAACGTGAAATAAAATTGGCATCACTGTGCTTACGAAAATACCTCACAGGGGAGGGAGCGGTTGGCAAACAAATATAGAAGGCATGTATTATTTGTGTAAAAATACAGTATACACTATAGGAGCCCTGATGGCACAGTGGTTAAAACACTCGGCTGCTAACCAGAAGGTCAGTGGTTTGAACCCACCAACTGCTCTGTAGGAGAAAGATGTGGCAGTCCTCTTCCATAAAGATTTACAGCCTTAGAAGCCTTATGGGGCAGTTCTGCTCTGTTTTGTAGGGCTGCTATTAGTCAGAATCGACTTGACAGGAGTGGGTTTGGTTTGGTTTATATACACTATGATAATACAGGGTAGAAAATGGAGGATACTGTGAGGAAAGCACAGTGAACATTCTGTGAGCATAAGAGAAGAGAGCACTTCATGGCAGTAGGATAATTTGAATTGGGCCTTAAATGATGGATAAGAACCAGATAGTTGAAGATCGGATGGGAATAGAGAAGGCAATTCAAGCATGAGAAACAACATGGAGGCAAGTAGGCATAGTGAGTTGACTTGGCTGGGTCAAAAGACTCAAAGGAATTAGCGAAAAGGGGGGTAGAGCCACATTAAGAAAGGCCAATATCTAAGTGACATTAGCATTAGCATCTGTTACTCTGTATTGAGATTCTTGGTTTAAAAATCAAAACTGCAAGGCCTATGCAAGAAATGAGACTTAGATGAACAGTGACTATTCTAGCCATGACTGCTGAATGCTGTGCGCTCAGGTCATGTCTTAGTTATCTAGTGCTGCTATAACAGAAATACCCCAAGTGGATGGCTTTAACAAACAGAAGTTTAATCTTTCACAGTCTAGTAGGCTAGAAGTCCAAACTCAGGGCGTCAGCTCCAGGGGAAGGCTTTCTCTCTCTGTCAGCTCTGGAGGAAGGTCCTTGTCATCAATCTTTCCCTGGACTAGGAGCTTTTCAGCGCAGGGACCCTGGGTCCAAAGGACCTGTACTTCTGGCTCAGCTTTCTTGGTGGTATGAAATCCCCTCGTCTCTCTGCTCGCTTCCCTCTTTTATATCTCAGAAGAGATTGGCTTAAGACACAGTCTGATCTTGTAGATTGAGTCCTGCCTCATTAACATAGCTGCCACTAATCCCATCTGATTAACTCAGAGATAGGATTTACAACACATAGGAAAATCACATCAGATGACAAAATGGTGGACAATCACACAATACTGGGAATCATGACTTAGCCAAATTGATACACACGTTTTTGGGAGGACACATTTCAATCCATGACAGGTCATAAGTTAAACTTTGTGGAATGTGAATTTTTCTGGAGATAATGTCCATAACTTTTATCTGATTTCAAAGGATTTTTTGACCAAAAAGGTTAGCATCTGCTACCCTACTGCCTGACATGCCTTGGACATAATACATATTGCACAAATGTTTGTTGGCTTGAATATTGTCATTGTTTTTGTATGACTATAAAAACGTGAGCAAGTAGTGTTAGTTGCACAACATGATGAACATAATTCATGTCCCTGAATTTGTATATCTAAAAAATAATGAAATGGCAAATGTATTGTTATATATGTGTTTATCACAATTTAAAAAAATACTAACGCTTGGGAGTTTCTGGGATATCATTGGAATATGAAAATTCTTCACTGTCATTGGGCTGCCTCATACTTAAATGGATCTTGCAGTGTGTCTGCAAAGATCCAACTCTCTGATCAGGTCATTGAACGTATCTTTCCTGTTTTTTATATTTGTTACTGCTTTTCTCCAGGGGAAGAAGGTGGATGGCTCTGTAAATGCCTATGCCATAAACGTGTCTCAGAAGAGGAAGTACAGGTATGCACAGCCCCCTTTATCATGTTTGAACTAAAGATACAAATTACATACTTGGGAAATAATTTTATTATGGGATAATCATGTTTATAGGAAATATAGCAGTTTTCGTACTGTCCTTCGTTTTAGTGAAGGGTTACCGTCCTTGCTTGTATTCTGATCTGTTAAAATTGCTTTCCAATTTACATGTGAACTAATTGCTGTTATAGAGAATAGTTGACTTAAATGTTTTAGGGTTATGAGATAGTTAGTTACTCAAAACAGCACAATCTCAAGTCTTTAGGCTTTGATTGTATTATAACGGTAAATTTAAAATCGATTCCTCCTGAATTATTTACCTAGATTGATTATGTAAGGATTTCAACTGTAAATATATTCTTTAAATGTAGGTATATTTTATTAGTACCAACGATTTGGAACAGATCAATTAATACTTAAAATCCCACTGAATTCCTAATGAATGGAAAAGTGAAGACATGTTCAAACATTGCCTTTCCACCCTTACCACTGATAAAAGATTAATATTCCAATTAATTTAGAATATAGAGAATATAATTTGAGAATGCTGTGAAATAAGGTACTAGAATCATCACTGATGGTCCTTTGTAAAATAACCTTCAAATAAGATCTTCTGGGGAGAACCATTAGAGTATGTAATCAGATTTGCTTGGTATATGCTTATTTTGGAACTCTTCTATTTCCCTTAAATTAGGTGTTTAGTGTTACCTAAAATGAATACGGATTTTCAGTTTAATTTTTAAAAGTCTGTAAAATCTTCCCAAATAAATTTTTTTATAATCTGTTGTTGTTGAGAATATACACATCAGAACATACACGAATTCAGCAATTTTTACATGTACAATTCACCAAATAATTTTTTGAAGTGTTTTTTTTTTTTAATTGTGGTAAAATATGGAAGAAAACATTTGCCATTTCATCCATCTTTATGTGTACAATCCAGTGACATTAATTACATTCCAAATAATTTTGAAAGTATATTTCCATACGACTATTTGTATTTTGAGTTTTAAAGAAATCTGAGAGGCTTCGGCTAATTTTGAAAGCAAAATAGTCTCTTCTTAATGAGCATTAAATAACCTTCAGTAGTTTTTACCTTGTTGCTGGTTGGAGTTGAGCTGATTCCGACTCATGGTGACCCCATGTATGCCAAGTAGAGCTGCACTGTATAGTGTTTCTTATCTTCAGAAATTTGTCACAGTTCAAGAAGCTTAGAAGCTGAATTCAGGGTATGGTTCTAGGGGTGGTCCTTCCTTGTCTATTTTAGCTTCTTTTGTTGTTGCTGGCAGCCTTGTGACCCTATGCACAATGGGATCAGACTGGGTGATCCATAGGGTTTTCATTGGTTGATTTTTGGAAGTAGATCGTTAGGCCGTTGTTCCTAGTCCGTCTTAGTCTAGTAGCTCCACTGAAGCTATTCAGCATGATAACAACACGAAAGCCTGCACTGACAGATGTCTTGAGGTGCATTGGATGGTAATCTAACCCAGGTCTCTCTCCTGCATGGAAGGCGGGAATTCTACCAGTGAACCATCACTGTCTTCTAGTAGCTGGCAGTCCTTGGAGTTCCTGGGCTTGTAGATGCATCTGCCTTGTGTGTCTGTCTTCATATGGTGTCTTCCCGCTGTGTGTGTCTCTGTGTCTCTTCTGCTCTTTTTATAACTCAGAAGTGATTAGGTTTAGGACCCACTCTACACTGGTATGACCTCATTAACATAAAAAAAGGAGACCCCTACTTCCAAGCAGGTTCATATTTACAAGTATAGAGGTTAAAATTTTTTGTTAGTAATATTTTATTGTGTTTTTGTGAAAGTTTACACAGCAAATTAGATTTCAATTTAACAGTTTCTATACATACTGTTCAGTGACATTGGTTACATTTTTCACAATGTGTCAGCATTCTCATTATTTCCATTCTGGTTGGTCTGTTTCCATTAATCTAGTTTCCCTGCCTCCCCTTACCTTCTCATCTTTGCTTTAGGGTAACTATTGACTGTTTGGTTTCATATAGATGATATTTTTAAAGGAGCACAGGACACACAAGTGATATTGTTTATTTTATGAGCCAATCTGTTATTTAGCAGAAAGGTGACCTCTGGGAGTGGTTTTGGAGCCCTGGTGGTGCTGTCTCTAGGAGTTCGGGTGCCATCCAAAAAGGTCAGCAGTTCGAATCCACCAGCCGCTGCTTGGAAACCCAAGGGGCAGTTCTACTCTGCCCTCTAGTGTTGCTACAAGTGGTTTTAGTTCAAAGTTTAAAGGGTATGTCAGGGGTTCCTCTAGTATCAACTGGTCAAGTAAGTCTGGCCTTTTTTAGGAATTTGAATTTTGTTCTACATTTTTCTCCCATTCTGTCTGGTCAGAATGGTCGGTAGTGGTAGCCAGGCACCATCTAGTTCTTCTGGTCTCAGGGTAGATGAGACCGTGGTTCGTATAGTCTTTTAGTCTTGTAGACTAGTTTCTTCTTTGAGTCTTTGGTTTCCTTCTTTATCTTTTGCTCCGGACAAGTAGAGATCAATAGTTGTATCTCATAGTGTTTTCAATGCTGTAACCTTTTGGAAGCAGATGGTCCAAGCCTTACTTCCAAGGCACCTCTGGGTGGGTTTGAACCACCAGCCTTTTGGCTATAGTCCAGTACTTAACCATTTGTGCCACCCAGGGAATCCTAGACTTTGCCATTTTAAAGATGGTTTATAGGGTTAATCTTTTAATCATACTAGCATGTGATTGTTTTCTTATAAGAGAAATTGAGAATTTTTTGTGTGTGTACGTGAAAATACACACATCAAAACATTCGCCAGCACAACTTCCATATTTACAGTTCAGTGACGTTGATTACATTTTTCATGTCATGCCACCATCATCGCTGTTCCCCTCCAAAACATTCACCACCGCCAGGAAAAAAAACACCCCCTTTCTCCCTCCCTCCCACCCCTAGTAACCATCAGTAATCTTTGATTTCTGTATTTGTTTATTTCACATAAGCGAGATCACACAGTATTTGTCCTTCGGCGACTGACTTGTTTCGCTCAGCATGTTTTCAAGGTTTATCCATGTTTTGGCATGCATCAAAACTTTATTTCTCTTTATGGCTGCATAATATTCCACTGTGTGTGTGTGTGTGTGTGCGTGCATGTGTGTGTATGTATCTGTGTCTCTGTCTCTCACATTTTGTTTATCCATTCATTTGTGGATGGATGTTTCTGTTGTTTCCACCTTTTGGCTATTGTGAAAAGTGCTACAGTGAACATTGTCGTACAGATCTTTGCATTCCTGCCTTCACTTCTTCTGGGTATATACTTAGGATTGGGATTGCTGGGTCATACGGTAATTCTGTATTCAACTTAGTGAGGAATCACCAAACTGTTTTCCACAGTGGCTATAGCATTTTACATTCCAGCCAGCAGTGGCTGAAGGTTCCAGTTTCTCCACAACTTCACCAACACTTCTTGTTTTCTGAGTTAGGTTTTTTTTTAAATCATTGCCATTCTAATAGTGGTAGGTGATATCTCCTTGTGGTTTTGATTTGCATCTCCCTAATGGCTAATGGGGGCCCTGGTGGTGAAGTGGTTAAGAGCTCGGCTGCTAACCAAAGGTCAGCAGTTTGAATCCACCAACCACTCCTTGGAAACCCTATGGGGCAGTTCTACTCTGTCCTGTAGGGTCGCTAGGAGTTGGAATTGACTCAACAGCAATGGGTTTGGTTTTTTGTTTCTTTTTAATGGCTAATGATGTTGAGCATCTTTTCATGTACTTGTTGCCTGTTTGAATATCCTCTTTGGTGAAATGTTTATTAAAGTTCTTTGCCCATTTTTTGATTGGGTTGTTTGTCTTTTTGTTATTAAGTTGTCAGAATTTTTTTTAATAAACAATAAATTTCCTTTTCTCGTTATAGGCAGTACATGAATCGAAAAGGTGGATTCAACAGACCTTTGGACTTCATTGCATGAGAATTGAAATGTTGAAGAATGATTTTTTTCCTCATCTTGGTCAAAAGAGTGTATTTTGTATTTAATATGCGTCAAAAACAGGATCTCAGTTCTTCCTTCTTATAAAGTAAGAAAATCTTATTTATAAATTGTGTAGTTCATTTACCCTGCCTCAAAAAAGAAAGGTTAAATATTACATTTTTTTTCTTTTAGGAAATATCATTTGGGGCAGTGATCAACCCCATTTTTTTTCCTTATTCCTGTGGAAGCTGTATATGTTTTCTTCTTGAATGCTTGTAGGACTTTTTAAAAAGCATAAAAGTAATTTGGATGTAAGTTTCCCCAATAAAGCAATATTTCTATCCTTTTGTATTTGATATATATTTTTATTGCTAGCTAAAAGAATCTCCCTAGACATTTTCTTTTTTAATACATAGATTTAAATATCTTGATTCTTAGTAGTTTAAAAACTGGAAGAATGAAAAAATATAACTTTGGATTTCTGAATCTATGTTTTTTTTTTTTTTCCTCTCCCCAAATACCGTTCGTTGTTTTCCCCCCAATTATGAAAGCAATACATGCCTGGTGTTAAAAAAAAAAAAAAAAAAAAAACTTGGGAGAAATCAAAAAGTAAAAAAAAGCCCCAAATCACCTGCCATCTCACCCCCAGAAATAATCAGTGTTAATATTTTGGTATATGTCTTTCCAGGCGCGTGTGTTTTGTCAGTCCTAGAGAATGATCCATATGCGCTGAAGTAGAGACTATCTTACGCTGTTGTTAGGTGGAGTGTTCTGTAGATGTCTGTCATGTGTAGTTGGCTTACAGTGTCATTCAGTTCCTCTGTTTCCTTGTTAATCTTCTTTCTAGATGTTCTGTCCGTTTCTGAAAATGGTACATTGAAGTCGCCAACTGTTATTGTAGTGCTATGTATTTCTCCCTTCAGTTCTATTAGTGTTTGCTTTTATATATTTAGGTGCTCTGATGTTGGGTGCATCTTTTTATGATTGTTAAATCTTGATGAATTGGCCCTTTTATCACTACATAATGTCCATTTTTTTTAATCTCTCCTGACCGATTTTGTCTTAAAGTCTACTTTGTCTAATATTAAGATTGCCACCCCAGATCTCTTTTGCTTATTATTTGCATGGAATATTTTTTTCCATCTTTTCACTTTCAATCTGTTTGTGTCCTTGGGTCTAAGGTGTGTTGCTTGTAAACAGCATATAGTTGGATCATGTTTTTTTTTTTTTTTTTTTTTGGTAACCATTCTGCCACTCTCTGCCTTTTGAACTTTTTTTTTATACTCTTAAATATTCTTTGGAAACTAAGCTTTTAATAGTACCTGGTTATACCATAATTTACTAACTAATCCCTTATTGGTGAACATTGGATTGCCTTTCATGACTTGCTGTTATAATTAAAACTGTAACTAGTATCCCTGTTATATATATCTTTTTGTAGTTGTTCTGTTATTTCCTCAGGCTCAATTTTTAGCTGTACCATTGCTGAGTGAGATAAAAGGGGGGTGAATGTTTTATGGTTTTTGATATATATAGCTAGAAAGGTAACAGCTGACTCTCATCAGTAAAGTAGGAAGGAGCATTTTCATTTCATATACGTGCATCAGTATTGGGTGTTAAGATTTTTAAAAAGTTTTCTGATCTGATGGGTAAAATAATGGTATCTGGTTTTAATTTGTTTAGTTTCTTGGGAGGATGAACACTTAAAAAATGTAGTAGCCGTTTGTATTTCTTTTGTGAAATGCTGATTCCAAATTTTGGGTCCATTTGTCTTTTGGCAGGGTTTTTTTTTTTGTTTTTTTTTTTAATTATTTGAAAGAAGCTCTTTTTATATTGACAGTAATAACCATTACCCATCTTATTTCACATCTGGCTGGTATTTGAGGCTTCTGTGGCTAGACTTAATTTTTATTTTATTTTTTTTAAGTACTACAAACACATGGAATACAATTCAAATGGTATAGAGGATATTCAGTGACAAGTTCATTGTATCGTTTTGGAGATATTTCATACATACACAAATATATATACATGTATATCTTATCATTCACATAGAAGGAAACTACACTATTCTGCATGTAGCCACCTTTTTTCACTTACTAGTACATCTTAAGATTGTTTTTTATCAGTACATATAAAATTAACTTATTTTTTTAACAGCTATATTATAATCCATTGTAGGATGAACCATAATTTATTTAACTAATTCCCTGTTGGTGGGCGTTGTTTCTCATCTTTTGTTATTTTAAACAATCCTGCAGTGATTGTCCTTGTACATACATGATTTTACAAATGTCTTAGGCTAGATTTTTAAATCCTTAGTGCTTCTGAAATTTGGCTAACTACTGTATTTAATAACTTCCCTGGCAACTTAGTTTCCTATAAAGAAAATAACAAACAGTAGTATGACTGCATTGCATAGTTCAGCGTACAGAGCGCTTTGATTCAGATAATCTGTATGAGATAGAACAGGTTCTATTATTGCCATTTCCCAGATGAGAAAACAGGCTTAAAAGAATATAAATGACTTGCCAAAATTTAGACTGTAAAGGCAGAAACTACTGGCGTTTATGTTGCCTCCTGCCTTCAGAGCTTAAATATCTGAATATGCTACATCAGCTGCACAACTTGAACTACCCATTCCACAAGTGTCACTACAACCAATTGGATTATTTCGCTTGGATTCTTTACAAAAAATTGTTGTGTATCTGTAAATTATCCATGACAAGGACTGTCTGACAGTATTTGTGCATTCCTGAGGAAAGCAGACCCGGTTGTTTTAAGAGGGAAGATAAATCTGGGATAAAATAATATACCCCAATCCAAATTATATGTTTTTGGATTATCTTTTTATTAGTGTGGTATTAGTAAAGAGTTTATCTGAGACTCTTCAAGGCAGCATACTTTGTAAATAAATAATCCGAGTTCCTGGTGGGTCAATAGGTTCACTATCATGAGCTAACCCAGAGGAAATGGAAGAAGAAGAAATCTTTGACAACCCAGAGAGAAGATACCTCTGATCCTAAGAGAAGTGTTGGTTTAAAGGAACTTGTGTCCATCAGATCATCTGATTCTGGAAGAATGACAAAGATGAAGCATCCTTGTCTTCTTTCTCTAACAGGCTACTCCCTGTCAGAGGATATAAATTGTGCTAGATCTTCTGTTTTAAAGTAGCTAAATGTTAAGAGTGCTCCAGGACTCAGTCCTTGGACTCTCCCATCTCTCCGTTGATGAGTCCTCAGGCTTTAAACATCTTTCTCCATCACTCTCAAATTTATACTCCCAGCCTGACCATTTTACTGAATTCCGGGCTTGTGTATCCACCAGGAGTCCCTAGGTGGTACAAACAGTTAAGTGCTCGACTACTAGCCAAAAGGTTAGCGGTTCTGACCCACCCAGAGGCGCTTCAGAAGACAGGCCTGACGATCTGCTTCAGAAAGGTCACAGCCTTGAAAACCCTATGGAGCAGTTCTATTCTGCATATGTGAGGTCACCATGATTTGGAATCAATAGCAGCTAGCAACAGTAAAAACAGCCACTAGAAGATTAGCAGTTACCTCAGATTTACAATTAACTGAACTCTCATTTCCCTGCCTGGTCTTCTCTAAGGCTTCCCTATCTCAATAAATGGCTGCTCAATTCACTCCTTTGTTCAGACCAAAATCCTTAAAGTCATCGTTGACTCCTGTCTTTCTCTTATGCCCCACATCTAATTCATTCGCAAATCCTATTGGCTCTAACCTCAAAGTATATTTTGAATCCCACTACTTTCCCCTACTTATCCCTCTACCTCCCTAATCTAAGACACCATCTCTTGCCTCAGCCATTGCTGTAGTCTCCTAATAGGTCTCCCTCCTTTCACTCTCGCTACCTCAGTTTATTTTCCACCCAGCAGCAGGGTCTGCCTTTTGAAATGTGTGTCAGGTCGCATTGCTCCTGGCTCCAGTGCGGTCCGTGATTTAGAATGAAGTCCAGTCCTGACTGTGGTCTTCAAGGATCCACGTGATCTGGACCCCGGCTTCCCATAGCCTCACTCCTTTCGCTCACTGCACTCAGCGAACTGGCCAGCTGCCTTGCTGCTCGTTAAGAACAGTAAAGAATGTACCATCTGTACTGTGTTCAGGTCTCCACTCAAACAAAGGCCAGTCCTGACCACACTATCCAAAACAGCCAACCCCCCATTTCCTCTCTATTCCTTCACCCTGTTTCTCTTTTTACATTTTTTAAATTGAGACGTAAAATTCATGCTTTTAAAGTATATAATGCAGTGTTTTTTCACTATGTTCAGAGAGTTATGTAAACTACTAATTCTAGAAGATTTCCATCACCCCCAAAAGAAATCGCATGCCCATTAGCAGACACTCCCCATTCCTCCTGCCCCTCAGTCCCTGGCAACCACCTGTCTATTTTTGGTCTCTATAGATGGGCCTATTCTACGCATTTCATATGCACGGAATCGTATGATATGTGGCCTTTTTTTGTGTCTGGTTTGTTTTACTTAGTATAATGTTTTGAAGATTCAGCCACGTCATAGTATGTATCAATACCTCTTCCTTTATTTTATACTAAATAATACTCTGTTGTTGGATAGACCACATTTTGTTTATCCATTCAGCAGCTGACATTTGGTTTGTTTCCACTTTTTGGCTATCATGAATAACGCTGCTGTGCTCATTCACGTATAGGTTTTGTGTTTTTATTTCTTTTGAGTATATACCTAGGAGTGAAGTCACTGGATCTTAAGCGGTAACTATTTAACTTTTTGAGGAACTGTCAAACTGTTTTCCAAAGTGGCTGCACCATTTTACATAACCACCAGCAAGGTATGAGGCTTCCAGTTTCTCCACATCCTTTCTTTTCTTCATGCCACTTCTGACTGCCTGATGTGCTCTATATTCATTTATTACTGCTTGGCTCTTCCACTAGACAGGGAGCTCTGAGAGGCAAGGACTTTTGTCTTGTTTGCAGCTGTAGCCCCAGCACAGCAGAGTGCCTGGCATGTAGTAAAACACTGAATAAAAACCTGTTGAATTCGTGAAAGTAGTTCTGTAACCTTTTTTCGCATCCATTCCCCTTGATTTTCATTTTAATCTTTACATACCAAATTAAAAATGGATATATTTTTCTTGTAAAATTTAAAGAAATATATTTTGACAAGGTTAAGTCCCCTTTGGTGGCGGCAGTGGTGATTCAGTGGTAGAATTCTTGCCTTCCATGTGGGAGGCCCCGGTACAATTCCCGGCCAATGCATGTCACGCACAGCCACCACCTGTCTGTCAGCAGAGGCTTGTGTGCTGTTATGATGTGAAACAAATTTTAGTGGAACTTCAGACTAAGACTAGGAAGAAAGGCTTGGCATCTGCTTCTGAAAATCAGCCAGTGAAAACCCTGTGGATCATAGTGGTCTGATCTGCAACTAGTCATGGTGATGGCACGGGACTGGGCAGAATTTTGTTCTTTCGTGCATTGAGTCACCATAAATAGGGGGCCAACTCAAAGGCAGCTAACCATAAGTCCCTTTTGACTGGCACCCACAATCCTGGTGCTATTGCCCCTTCTCC